CGGAGGTGAAACCCGGGCCTGAGGTCTGGGCCAGCTTCCTCCGAGAGGCTTCTTGCCTCTTCTGCTTCCTGGGAATTCCCACGATCACCTCCCCACCCCCCGCACCAAAACAAGCCGTTGCTAGAGTAGCACACGGCGGCTGGCCGTTTGCCTGCTGCGACCCTGCACGGGTGGCCAGTGGGGCCAGGGCAGTGCTTCTCGGGCAAGTGTGCCGCCGAGTCACACCGCAGAACTGATTCCCGGCGACCCCTCTAGTTCCCGGTTCAGTAGGCGGGGCCTGGGAACGTGCATTTCTGACAAAGCCCCAGGTGGTGCTGATGAGAGAAGCCCGGTGATTGGCACGGAGTCGTTGGCCTCGTAGTAATGGCACCTCTCTGTTCTTTCTGACACGGGCGGTGCCACAGCGTCCCGGTCTCTCTGTCTCCGGGAGGCTCCGCAGCTGGAGCCCATGTGGCCCTTGATCTCTGACCCCCGCCGCCTGTGGCCTCTAAGTGTGTGATGACTTTGATGAGCCGTTTGGGTTCAGGTGCCGCGGAGCGAGCTGCCTCCCCCTCTCCCGTTTGGCTCGCAGCTGGGCTTCTGTCCCAGATCAGCGCTGCCGGCCGGCACGCCCCCCCCCCTCCAGTGGGAGGACCCCCCAGTGCTAGGGCAGAGCTGAGGTGTGGGGGAGCCTGCAGGGCTTGCCCCTGACGTTTTCGTTGCAGGCGTCTTGGTGTTGAATCAAGGGAGGGTCTGAGGCAGGTGTCTGTGGGCTTGAATCTCCGCGGGGCTGGTGACCTTGGGCGAGTCTCCAGTGTAAAATGATAGCGTGGTACGCCGTCGGGAGGATTAACTGCGAGGAAGGGGCCGGCTGCGTGTCCAGGCTTCACACTGGTTAGCCTCCATTCCAACTGGGGGCCGGGCTGCCTTCCAGCTCCTCCCCCGCCGGCCCACCCTGAGCGCGTGGCTGAGCCTCAGGGCCCGAGGGCGGGAGGAAGCGTCCTTCTACCTCCCGTGTGGTCTGAGTCTGGCTGGTGGCCTGCCCCCTGCCCTGGGAACAGTCAGGATTTGGGGTCACACGCCCACCCCTCCCCCCAGTGTGTAAATGACTCACCCAAGGTCATGAGGCCACCACCCGCAGCCTAGGACCGGGTTCCGGGTGTCTTGAGAGCAGCCCAGCGCCGGTGTCCGTGGCACCCCCTCGCCCCAGCTGTCTGGGTTATTTTGGGCGCCCTCCTGTGCCAGCTGTCGGCTGGCATCGCGGCCGCCGCGAGCCGGGAAACCTGTCTGGCTGCGAGTAACCGGAGTGGTGCTCTTGGCTCTCTCTGGCCACCGTGCCTTGGGCTCTCCCGCCCCAGATTAGCTGGGTGAGGTCCGTCTTGCCCTTTGCTGGGGCCAAGGGGGTGCACCCCACCGCACCTCTTTGTGAAAGTCGGTGCGCCTCTTCCCTCCTTCCACAGACCTCAGGGCTCGGTTCAGCTCTGCCCTTCCTTTGATGAGCCCACTCAGGTCTCTCGGCTCCTCACCTACCCAGCCGCCTGAGGGCGTCCTGTGTCCCCTCGGACAGGGCCCTTGTGGCCGCAGAGGCAGGGATCTTAACCTGCTGCGGGCTGCAGACGGCTGGGTAATTCACTGAAACCCTCCCCCTTCAGCTGCTGCCTGCAGGGCCGCAGCCAGTTCTTCCACTCCTGCCCTGGGAGCAATTAGGAAGCAATTAGGTGCTGAACTGTGTGGTCCGGGTGTGATTCTTGGGAGAGGTGTCCCCGTGACCTGACCTGGAAGCTCCTCTTCAGCAGCGCATGCTTGTTTGCTCCTTTACCCCTGCTGGTCTTTGTGCCCCCGCCCCCAACCCCATCACCTCCCGGCCAGGGAGGGGCGGGGCAGGCTGTCATTCCTCGGGGCCCAGAGGGCGGCCCCGCCCACCGGTCACCCAGGGGGCGGGGGGCGGGGCGCTCCCGGCCTGGAGCCTGCCTGGAGAGGGCCACGCCAGCGGAAGGGCAGCCCGCTGGCCCGACCTGCCTAACCACTGGGCGCCAGAGCCCCGCCTCTTCCGGCCCAGCCACCGAGAGGGAGAGCCCCGCCGCGGAATATGACCTTTTGGACCCTCTGGGTGGAGGTGCAGCTGCTTGGACTGTGGAGAGAGGCACCCTGCCATCGCAGGGCCCAGTGGGTCCGCTGCTGTCTCCAACTGGCCAGTGACCTTAGCAGGTCTCTTGTCCCTCCGGGAACATGGGTCTTCCCGTGTGACCCAGGAGGAGGAAGTTGGCGGGAAACTTCTTGAGCCATTTCTGAGTCTGGCTTTCTGAGGGGCAGCTTTTTGGATGGCAGTGACTCCTCAAGCCACCCCGGGCCACCTCCCATCTCTGGGACCTCAGAGAATAGTTCAGCCTGTGCAGGCTCAGTGTCCTCATCCTCACGCAGAGAGGGTGCCTCCTCGGGTGGGCTGTGACCTCTTGGGGCGTTCGGAGGCCCCGGGGAAGTGGGAGTCCTGGGCTTTGTCATGGGCCGTCCTCACCTGCGCCGCCGGACCCTGCCCCGACGAGAGCGGGTGGGCTGGGCCTGGCCTCCCTGGCGCGGGCCGCCTGGCCAGCTCGCCCCGGCTTCGGCATCCCCGCGGCTCTGTGGTGCATGTAAAGTGTCTTACTCGGTGTAAAGTGTCTTTCTTGCTTTCCTAAGTCTCCCCAGGAATCCTGGTGACTAGAGGCCAGATGACCTGGGGCCTGAGAGCACCTCACAGGTAAGGACACAGACAGGGCTCCGGGGCGTGGGGGTGCGCCACCTGGCACCCCAGCTGGCCTGCCCCGCCCCGCCACCTCCAGGGCGCTGAGCAGCTGGCCTGGCCACCGGGTATTTTTAGCTGCAGACCCCCCGGAGCTGGGCCCCCCTCACACCCGCTGTGAAGGCTGGGTTCTGCCAGCCCCTCGGCCAGGCAGGAGGCCGGGGCCGGTGTCAGCTGTTCTGCCCGGACCCAGGCAGGGCTGGGAGACGCGCTTTCCCTCTCCCCACTCCTGTCCACTTAGTGGGAGTGGTTCTGTCCTAAGTCAGAATTACCACCCCGTTTCTCAAGTGGGGAGTGGACGCGGAGGTCTGAGGGTTTGAGGAGAGTCGGGAGCCCTCCCCGTGGGCTTCTGTGGTTTCTCCTGGCCCAGTTCGCCCAGAGCGGGGTGGCCTTTCTAAGGGACTTCTCCCCAGGTCCCTCCCAGGTGAGGCAGCCCCCCCGCCCCTTACTCTCCCAGTCCCTCCCGGCGCTTTAGGGCCCCTGCTGCCACGGGGTCAGGCTGGAGCTGAGGCCACAAAGGCGAGTGAGTGGTCCTCCTCCCTGCACTCCAAACCCTCCCCCGTCTTCCCCGTCCTCCTGGGGTCCTGGAGTCCTTTCTGACGTGTCTCCGGACCTGGTCTGTTCTCCTGCCAACCTCAGGCTGCCTCAGCAGCCACCACAGCTCCTCTGTGGTCTCCAAAGGGAGCTTGAGGGTCCGGCTTAGGCTGGGCCTGTTGAGGAGCCTTCGGTTCAGTGCCCCCTGCTTGAGCCTGGCAGCCAGGCCCTCCCCATCTAACCTGTGTTACCTTGACAACAGCGTCTGGCCTCCCCCCTCCTTCCCCAGCCTCTGCCAAACCTGGCGGGGGTTTTCGGCCACCATGCATTTGCCCCGGCTGGGTGCCCTTCTGGCCTGCCTGCCCTACGCTTGCCAAGCTTTTTACTAGTTCACCTACCACCTCTCAACCTTCTCTGAACTCCTTACAGGCAAGAACACAATGGCTTCTCAATAAACTTGTGTTTGAAAAAATAAAAAGAATGAGTTGCTGGTCATTTATCTAGGGGTGCTTGACCCAGCTGATGCCATCCGGTTTGGTCACAGGGTAGGGCATCCACCCAACAACCTGAAAAACGCGGGCCTTTAGGTACACTACCACCTCTTCCCAGCTGTGGCTCTTTTGGGGCTTCCACGGGCGGTCGCTGCTGCCCTCTGGCGGTCAGACCCTGCCTTGCAGCCGCTGAAAACCTTGACCCGGCATTTCTGGAACTGCCAGGTTGGCAATTTCCTCCCTTGAAGTCAAGTTTGCCTCATCTTTGCCGAGAACATGAAAGTTGGTAACCTTCCGGGTAGGGTAGGGGCAAGAAGACCCTGCATCCTGCCAGCCCCTCTCCAAGGAAACTCGGAGGTCCTACCCAGCCTGGGAGGACCCTGCTAGCTCCCTTGGCCATGCCCCAGTGCCTGACCTGCCTGCCCTCACCTGCTCCAGGGGTCTCCTGCCATTCCTGCCTATGGCCTGGTTTGTACAAGGAAGTCAGCCCAGGTTCGCATGGGGGGGTGGGGAAGGTGGGGACGGGGGTGATGGCAGCCGGCCGTCCTATAGCACTGGACATGTGAGTGCTCTGTAAGTAGCTGCTTTGGTCGGGGTGGAGGGAAGATTGGGGAGAATCCTTGGGATGTGGCTGCTGGCTGGGGAATACCTAATTAAGTTGCTGGATGGAGGCGAGGGTTATCAGTGACCAAGATGGGCAAGGGGGCCCAGCTGGCCTCAGCCCCGCCCGGGTGTCCTGCTCCGTTGAGACCTCTCACCCCTGCTAGAAAAGCTCCCACCGACGCGTAGTTTGTGGCGCTCAGCCGCACCAAGGCGACCGCCCGGCAGAGGGCGCCACGAGTCCACTTTGCACCCCTACGGAGGTGGGGGTAAGCGGAACCACTATTCCCCACCCCCAACCCGCACCCACACAGGCGCGGGGAGACCCAGACCAGGGGAGACAACCCCCCCCCCCCCCGCCCAGGCCAGCATCTTCCCTGGCACCACCGACCTACCTCCTGTGGGGAAACGGGTCACAGGCAGACTTGCCCCAGGCCACAGCTGGAGCAGGACAAGCTAGGGGGCTTTCCAAGCTCGAAACCAAAGCTCCACGAACCTGGGTGCTGGGTGGGGGGCACAGTTCGCCAATCAGAGTCCCTGTCGCAACCAGCCAATCAAAGAGCCCCTAGCAGAAGGCGGAGCCTGCCAATTAGGGGTGCCCAGCGCGGAGCTGCGGAAACCTTGGGATCTTGACAGTGGGGGGCGCGCCGTCCTGAGTGTGAGGAGGGGAAGTGGTCAGGGGCTCTTTGTGCGGTCCCTGTGCGGCTGAGCATCCCGTCCCTGTTACCTCAGTTTCCCTGTACGTGAGAGGTGAAAGCCCCGTGCTGGCACCCTAGCAGGAAGGAAACTGAGGCTGGAGGTCGGCCCGGGTGGCTGCCTGACGGAGGAGGCGCCAGCAGCTAAGGGGCGGGGCTTACCGTGGCCCCGCCCCCGACTGCTATCAGCCGGGCGCTGTTCCCCGCGCGCTGCCGCCAGGTCTGCCGGCTCCGGAATATGGACACCTCCGGGACCCCGGCACAGACCACCGCCCCGGGCCCGGGTAGGAAGGAGCTGAAGATCGTGATCGTGGGCGATGGCGGCTGCGGCAAGACTTCGCTGCTCATGGTGTACAGCCAGGGCTCCTTCCCCGAGGTGAGGCCCGCGGAGGGGGGCGCTGGAGGGTGCAGGATGGAGAAGGGGGTTGGGCTGGGACCACCGGAGGGCGAGAGACAGCCCTCAGCCTGCGCCGAGCCCAGGCCCTGGGTCCCCGCCGTCCTGCGCGCCGGGAGGAGGCCACCACCCCGGGTCTCCCCCTCGGGAATTCCCGAGCCTCGCGGCGTGAGGGGGGCCGAGCCGCACGGGGGCGAAGATAGAAGGGGACGGGGACTTTCGCCGAACACCCTGGGACCCCGCCGCACTCCTGAAGAACCGACCCCACCCCTTACCCCACAGCATTACGCCCCATCCGTGTTTGAGAAGTACACGGCCAGCGTGACCGTGGGCAGCAAGGAGGTGACCCTGAACCTCTACGATACCGCCGGTGAGTCAGCCCAGAGGGTTCCCCTGCCCGGGCATCCCCGCCGCCAGCCCCGCCGCCAGCCCCCGCGGGGCCCTGGCAGCCTGTGGTCCCTGGAGACAGGAGCAGGGATGCTGGCTGGGAGCCGGGTGACCCTGGTGGCAGAGGAGACCTCAGTCACGTCATCTGTAAAAGGAGGGTGTTTGGCCGAGAGGAGCTCCCGGCCCCCACCCAGCACTGATGTAGTGATAGCGAGGGCTTCGCTCCTCTCCGGTGGTTCTGGAAAATCCTGCGCTTCCTTGTGCTCCCCTTGGAGCCAGGGTTTTCAGGCCTTGCGTGTGTCTCCTCGGATTCCGTGAGCCCCAGATTTGGGGCCTCTGGTGGTAGGATATCTATCTTTGGGTCCTGTGTCTAGAATTCTCTGGGCTACAGATCAGAGCTCGTGACTCCCAGATTCTGTGACCGACAGCCCCGTGGCCCCAGGGTCCTGTGGATGCAGGTTTTGATTCCCATGCTTGTGGGATTCCAGGGGGCTGCCTGCTGTGGGCGATTCTGGAATTCTGTGCCCTCTGGATTGCCTGTGGCCACAGAGCTGTGCCTCCTTGGGAGAAACAGGCCCTGAGGAGGGCACGGAGCTCTGGGGAGTCTTGGAAGCAGGTCCTTACTGCCACCTGCAGCTCCTGGTGGGTTTATTATGCTGCCTGCGTCAGTCACCCGTCCCTGCCGCTGGGGATGGGTGGGAGGAGCACCGCCAACGAGAGGATTTGGGTGGCACTGGCGGGGGGCGGGGGGCCTGCCTGCCTCAGAGAGTTCCCATCTTGCCTGGGCTCCCCTCTGGACCTGCGTAGACATGGGGGAGCAAAGTTCACGATCCCCACCTGGCGCCTCACCCAGCCTTTGTGACTCAGTGTTTAGGAACCTGCAGTAAACCCTGTCATCGGGCACCCCTTCCCCAGGCAAGCCCTGTGTGTCTGAGGTGACGGCTGCGACCGGCTTGGAACAGAGCCGCAGTCCACACACCTCGCCCGCCGTGAGCTGCCGTTAGCACCTCCCGGTCTACCTGGAGTGTCAGGAGAGGGCTGCCCGTCCCGGTCCCGACACCTCCCCTGTGCCTGACTTCTGGCAGGCCTTGCGGTTTGGGTGTGTCCGAGTCTGTGGTGGCCTCTGAGGGCCTCCTGGGTGAGGACCCTGCGGGGCTGCCCCCCAAAGGCCCCTGGGGAGTTCCCAAGGGCGTGGCCACAGTAGAAATTTGGTGTGTTCGGGCCACTGGGTGTCACGTTCCCTGTCCGGAGCCCCGGGAGGGAGCTCTGGGTGGAGCCCCGGCGGCACGGGGGCTGTCCAGGGGGACTGTCTGTGTGTCTCTCCCGCCCTCTGCCCTCAGGGGGGCCCCTCCCAGATCTCCTGGGTCACTGAGTGTCCCTTGCTGTGCCCCCCATCAGACCCCTGGGGGGCCACTCTGGCCCTTCTCTGGTCTGGCCGGGAGAGCAATGCTCAATGGACATGTCAGGGTAGGTTGTCGTGCGAAGGTTCTAGAAAGCTTCTTGTTTTAAAAAGGGGGTGGCTCTAAGAGCTACTTGGGTGGGGCGAGGTGCAGGCAGCTCTGTCCCCTGCGTCATCGGAATTGCGTGACCACCGGGGCAGTGTCGACCCCATCTGTCCGCATGTCCACGTGCTTTGGAGTCAGCCCCGGCCTTCGCGCCAGCCTCCCGGCCGGGTGTCACTGGAGACGCCTGGCCCCCCGGTTTCCCCGTGTGCGACAGGGGCTGACATAGTTGTGAGACTGAACGAGGCCCGTGCGACCACGTGCAGCAGCACCTAGCGCAGAGGCTGGCTCTGGGGAAGAGCTCACGAACGTCGTCGCCGTGGTTTCGGAGCCCCCCCCTCGCCGCCCCCACCCCATCCAGGCCGGAGCACAGCTGGTGGCCGTGCAGGGCTCTGTGCGCCCCGCTCGCGCCCAGGGAGGAGACAGGCCCCCGGTCACCCGGCAGCCCAGGGCGGGGTGGGGCGGGGCTTGCTCCCTCCTCCAGGGAGTCCCCGCCGTTTGGGGGAGTGTGGCAGAGACACCGGGTGCCTGGCCTGCAGCGGGGCTCGTGGGATGAATGAGGAAGCAGCCCACATGCAGAGACAGCCCCGGGGAGGCCCTGGGTGACAAGGGCGATGACGCTCGCCTCGGCCTGTCCAGGGACAGGCATCTGGAGAACGTGCTGGATGAGGGTGGCCAGGTGACCAGACAGCGAAAGATAGAGGCCAACCAGTGAAGGGAGGGGCCAAGCTGGAGATGAGTCCGATAAAAGTTGTTGTAGAAGGTTCTAGAACCTGATAGGCTAACCCCTGTGGCAGGGGGTCCGGAGGTGGGAGGGTGCAGGGTGGCGTCTTCCCAACCAAGCAGAGCTGCCTGGGACTCTGGGGCAGCCGGCTTCCCCCGCGCCCAGGACCCCACAGAAGGGCCCACGTGGGCGGCCAGTCCTGCTGCTTGTCTCCGTCCTGTGGGGACAGTCACAGGCGCGCACAGTGGCAGAGGGAGCACCGAGGGGCGACGGGGCTCCCGGTGCTCAAAGCGGAAGGGAGGCAGGGGCTGTGAGCACCCGCCATCCCGGCAGCCTCGCCCGCCTGCCACCCCGACGCCACCGTCACCGACACCCTCACAGACAGGAAGCTGTGGCGAGGGCTGAAGTTTCCTGGGCTGGGGGGAGGGGGGCGAGGTGGGATGTTAAGACACCCACAAGAGACACCAGAGACGGGGCTACTGGGGCCTCGGGGTGGGGCCCAGGGTGGGGCGTCGCAGGATGGGGTGGGGAGTGACCAGGAAGGCGGGGTGCTGTCTGTGGTTGTCGCCCCAGCCTGAGATGAGGACACGAGGAAAAATGGGGGCAGAGGACTCGCTCAGACCAGGAGTCGGGGGCGAAAGCGATGTCCAGGAGGCAGGAGCACTGGGAGGCCCGGGGAGCCGGAGCCGCGGTCCTCGGCGTGGCCCAGTCCCCGGTGAGGATGGGGACGCGCAGGGGCGTGGGCCCCAGAGCTCCAGTGAAAGCGGGTTCCTTTTCTGGCAGCTTCCGCTTCTCACGCTGCCCGCGCCCATCCCGACCCACACCCTGGCCCGCGCTGGGGCCCGGCTGCCCCAGTGTGTGTCCTCCCGCCGATTCGGGGACCACCATGCTCGATGACTCCCTGACTCCTCACTCCAGCTCCGCGCTTTCGAGACCCCTGCCCCCCCCCCGCCCCGGGGTGGGGGTGGCCGCGGCTGGGCTCCTGCCCACAAAGGAAACACCCTCTCCGGGGGCGGGCGCGCACCTCACTTCCTCCTCTCCAGGGACGAAAGCCTCCTTTGCACGGAACGCTGGGGCTGTTTAAACATCTGAAACCCATCTGCAAGGGCCTGAGTGGGCCGCCTGTACGCCTGTGGACAGGCGACGTGGCCCCTCGAAGCCCCGGCGTGACTGTGGGTAAACGGGCGGGGCAGCAGCTGCCTTGCAGCCGGGGGACCCGTAAAGCTGGGGGTCTGCAGAGCCAGGGTCAGAGCCCTCCCCCAGGATCCGGCCCCTCGGGAGCTTCCGTTTCAGCCGTAACCGCGGCAGCAGCCCCTCACTGTTGCCCAGCCTTGCTCCCCCTGCGAGCCTTTTCCTTTCAGTGCCGGGGCCAGGGTTGTCCTCTCTTTCTCCAGACGAGGAAACTGAGGCCCAGAGCGGGAGGGCCAGTCTCGGAGGGCGGGTCTGCGTGCGGCCGGCGCTCCTGACTCACCTGGGAGGTGACCAGGGCACTCACTCCACCCCACCCACGGAGGCGTGAGGTCACAGCGCCTGCCCGCAAGGCCGACTTCTCGCTGCCGGCCAGGTCTGTGCGAGGAGGCCCGCCCTGGGTCCTGGGGCCAGCTGAGCCAGGCACCGTCCAGCCAGGAAGGCAGCCGGGAGGAGGAGCTGGGATCCGGGCTGGCTGCCCAGCGCCTCCCAGAATCCCTCTCTCCTCGAGACACCTGTGTCGGCAGCCTTTCCTCCACCTGGTCGGGGCTGGAGTTTCTTGAGTGGGAACAGCTCCCTATCCTCTGGGGTGGAGAGACAGGCACCCCAATAGTCCTGCCTCTGGGCCCCTGTCCTTACGACCCTTCCGCTGAGCTGTGTGACCGTGCACAAGTCACTCGGCCTCTCTGTGCTGCAGTGTCTGCGTCTGTAACACACGGTGACAGCCCTGCGGTACCGGGTCCTAGTGACGCGTGAGGAGTCGTGCCGGCCGAGGGCTTCCAGTGGGGCCTGGCGGTCGAAGAAGAATGACAGTGACCGTTTCTATCACTGTCGTCCTGGAGGCTCGCCTGCTTCTCGCGTGTCCCTCTTGCAGGCGAGGAAACTGAGGCCCAGAGGGTCGTTTCCGGTTGGGAAGGCTGGGGAAGGCTTCCAGGGAGAACCGGTCCCTTCGGAGCGGCTTGGCCCGGAGCTGACCTTGGACTTGGGGACTTGGGGACTGAGCTGGCTGGCGCTCCAGCTCCCGGGGAGCCTGCCTGTGACCTTGAAACATGCCCCCTCAGCCGCCTGGGCTCCTGACGGGAAAAACCCTCCCCGCCCAGCCTTCCTTCCCCGGAGGCAGCTCACACGAACACAGGTGGCGACAGAAAGTGCCAACGCCGACGGCCACGGGGGTTGTGGTGCCCCTGGTCCACCCACCCGTCCATCCACTTGTGCGTTCTCCAAAGGGAACCCACCTCCCCAGGGTCCCGGGGGTTACTGGCGAGCGGCACCGAGATGGGCCCTGCCCGTCCTCTCGGGGAGGCCAAACGAACAGAACTCGGAAGAACTTGGCTACGTCGAGTAGCGAGATGAGCCAGAGAGAAAAACACAGCCACAGTCAGCCCGTGGGGCCGACCGGCAGGGGGACCGCTTCCGAGCAGTTCTCTGGAAGGAGGTGACACTTGGGCAGACGCCCGAAGGGAGGGAGGGGCCGTGTCGTGCTGCTCCCTGGGGAACAGCCTTCCAGAAGAGGGAACAGCAGCAAGGGTGGCGTCCGGGGGGGTGGGGGGGAGCCGTCTTGGCCTGACGCCCCCCTTCGGCCCCGGGCGGTCCAGCTTCTGCCCTTGTCAACGCTGCCGTGACCATCGCGGCCGCAGTGGGCTCACCGGACGGCGCCTCCGCCCCGGTCCCCTGCGTGACAACCGATGAGCAGCTCCCAAACCGCCACCAGCCATCCCTGATTGGACGGATGCCTGACGGGTGCCAGCAATTAATTCCTTAAACAGGACTTTATTTCTTCTTAGAGAGAGGGGACGGGAGGGAGAAAGAGAGGGGGAGAAGCATGGATGTGGCCCCCGTGAACGCCCCGTCCGAGGGCCGCACCGCAGCCTAGGCCCAGGCCCTGACTGGGACTCGAACCGGTGACTTCTCCCCTTGTAGGACGACACCCAACCCACTGAGCCATGCTGGTCAGCGCCCAGGAATTAATCCTCGCGGACAGACATGGCCCTTGTCCTCAGGGCGCTGGCCATCCGCAGGGACATGGGCAGTGTGGGAGGACACCCAGGAGCCCGTGTGCACCCTGAGCCAGGCGAGACGAGGGGAGACTGGGGACTCTGTGGCCCCCCTTGTCCAGTTCCATGCCTGCCCCAGCCACACTCCCTCGGGGGAGGGAGTGCTTGTGCTCCCCCTCCGTCGCGCACTAGTCACACCCGGAGGCCGGCAGCTGCGGCTGCACGGAGGCAGGAGAGAGTGTGGCGGTGTTTCTGCAGGAGGGACACGTGAGGTGTGATTGGACGGAGGGGCGGCTGGGTGAGGGAGGGGCCATGAGGGGCGGCAGGAAGCCCTGTGCCCGCGCTGTCACAGTGGCCACAGGCCCACGTAGCACTTAATCACCCGGAACGTGACCGAAGTGATGGAGGACCTGAGTTTTCCGTGATGGTTTGAATAGCCACAGGGGGCTAGAGACAGCGCTATCGGGCCGCAGAGGTCAGGCAAGATGTGGTCCGAGGTTAGGGGAGGGGACAGTGTGGAGACAGGAGAGGGAAGGCACGGGCAGGAAGAGCGTGCTGGGCCCAGTCCCTCATTTTTTTTTTAAGATTTTATTTATTTATTTTTAGAGAGGAGAGGGAGGGGGAGAGAGAGAGAGAGAGAGAGAGAGAGAGAGAGAGAGAGAGAGAGAGAGGGAGAGAAACATCAATGTGCGGTTGCTGGGGGTCATGGCCTGCAGCTCAGGCATGTGCCCTGACTGGGAATCGAACCTGCGACGCTTTGGTTTGCAGCCCGAGCTCAATCCACTGAGCTACGCCAGCCAGGGCTCCAGTCCCTCATTCTTACACGAATTTCTGCAGCTTTGTGGCAACGAGGGCAGGAGGGTGCAAGTGTGCCCAGCCCCGCCTACCCCTCGCCCCTTCTGCGATGTTGGGGAGACCCCAGCTGAATGACAGCGCGGACAGTCCTCCTGGCCCAGCCTCTGCCGTAACTGTGGCAGCCACCCTCTGCACGCTGTGGGAGGCCCTGGTTTGAAGGGGAGCCGGTGGGAAGAGAGAGAGGTGAGGGTCCTGTCATCGGCAGGGGCCAGAAGCAGGACACGGCCTGTGTGTGCTGGGTGAAGAGGCCTTTGGCGGGGAGTGACGGGCACCCGCCGGCGGGAGGCGGGGCTGGGCAGGGATTCCTGGCCTCTGTGGTGAGTGGAAGGAGTCACCTTGCCCTCTGCAGAGGTGCTGGCGGGGTGCCAAGGAGTCTGGAGGGCGCTCGGCGCTCGCCGTGGGAGCTTCTCCAAGTCACCCAGCACGGCAGCGGAGTGCTGGACTTCCACGCAGCGCCCCGCCGCTGGGCTGGGGGGCAGCTAGTGGCTCGGGGGAGAGAGGAGCACCTGGCTGCGGGGCTGCCCGCCTGGATTCGGCGCTGGTATGGGGTCGGTAAGAGGCCACAGGGCGGCGTCCTGGGCGGAGCCCGTGTGCCCCGGCCTCTCACGTGCTCCAGAGCATCCATACGTGGGTGACCTGGGCATCCATTCGTGGGGCAAAATGTGAACGCTCAGTGCATCTGAGGAAGGGCGCTCTGGGCACTCCTTTTGGCAATCTGTCTGTGAGCTTGAACTTGTAAATGTAAAATTGTTCTGAAAAACCAAACCCACCGCTGTCCGGCCCAGCCGTGGGCTCCGACTCCGGTGCTGGGCAGGGGCCGAGCATCAGGGCGCCGACGTCTCCCCACCCCCAAGTGCGTCTGCTGTGCGGCGGGGCTGACAGCTGCCGTGTGGGGCGGGTCTGCGGGGGGAGCCTGCTGGTGTCGGCTCCAGCCGCCCCCCCGCCCCAGTGTTGGCTGGAATGGCAGGATGAATTCCACCTGAGACCTCTGAGCCTGTGGGGGAGGCACCCTCCTTCAGCTGAATTTTCGGGGAGGGGGTGTGGCTTCAGAGTCTGCACTTCCGGCCTGAGCACCAGGGGAGGGGGCGGCTGGGGGCGGGAGGGGGTGGTTGGGGAGTCGTCTCCAGCGTAATTGTGGCAGCTGCCCACCCCTGTAGTCAGTGAGGCCCGGCTCTGAGGACCGCGTGGGTTTCCTATCGGCTGCGCCTGGCTCCCGTCGGGGGCGGGGGGCTGCACCTGTTCCCCGCGGGAGGGCACCGAAGCCTGGGCGCAGGTCGCTGGCGCAGACGGGGACTCAGGCGGGCGAGGTCGGGGCGCCTCCCTGACCCCCCCGCGGCTCTCCGGTTGCAGGGCAGGAAGACTACGACCGGCTGCGGCCCCTGTCCTACCAGAACACCCACCTGGTGCTCATCTGCTACGACGTCATGAACCCGGTCAGCTACGACAACGTCCTCATCAAGGTGCGGCCTGTCTCCCTGCCGGCCTGCCCGCCTGCCCGCCTGCCCCGGGGTGGGGGCGGGGACCCTGGAACCCGCCCCTGGCCCTGACCCCCGGCCCCTCCCCCCCCACAGTGGTTCCCTGAGGTCACACATTTCTGCCGTGGGACCCCCATGGTGCTCGTGGGCTGCAAGACGGACCTGAGGAAGGACAAGGAGCAGCTGCGGAAGCTCCGGGCGGCCCAGCTGGAGCCCATCACCTACCTGCAGGTAGGCCGGGGCGCCCCACCCCCACCCCCACCCCGTCCTGTCCCTGCCCCACCCCAGGCAGCCGGGCCCCTCGGGCACAGCTGTAGCCTGAAGGACCCCCAGGCCTTCGGCTTCTGCAGGGGGCGGGGCGCCCTCAGTGGCCTGCAGACAGCTGAAGCCAACAGGACTCTAAGAATAACAATTTAGAAACATCGATGACCCGAGTACCCAAGCACTTGACCTTACTTTATCCTTATAACCCCAAAGCGGGTGCTGTTGGTGCTTTGCACGTCCGGTGCAGCGCCGGGGAGGTTAAGTGGCCCGCCCAGGGTCACACGGCGGGCCTGAAGTGTATGCCGCCCGAGCCGTCACTCCGGCTCCCGAGTCTGGGCCCCGTCTACCCGAGGGGACCCGCGGGGCAGGCCCGGGTTTGTAAGCAGGCCCCCCCCCCGCACCCCTCCCCCCGACTCCCGAGCCTCCTGGCCAACACCTAACCCCGTGGCCTTCCGGGCCGGGCACGGGAGACAACGTGGGACACAAGGGGAAACTCGTCAAGTTTAATAAAAGGGAATGCGCATTGATGAACGTTAAACCTGCCTTAGAAACCCAGACGTTCTGCTCCGGGAGCAGGCCCCGCTGCCCGCATGGAGCTTTCGGGGAGGGAGGGAGGGAGGGGTCGGGGGCCCTGGCTGCCTCGAGGCCCTCGGCTCCTCTCAGGGGCCGGCAGACACCGCCGCCAACCCGGTCCCTAGAATCCGGCCGTTTCGGCCTGAGGGTGGAGAGGGGGTGGGGTGGAGGCCAGGAGGGGCTTCTCCCCGCAGGGCCACGCCACGCAGAGACCCCTCTGCTCCATCCGCGCACTCCCGAGGGCTGGCCCTGGGACGCAGGACAGAGGCCCCCAGGTCCACGCCCCAGGCCCCGCCCCTGACGCTGGCCCCCGCCCCCGCCCCCGCCCCAGGGCATGAGCGCTTGCGAGCAGATCCGAGCCGCCCTCTACCTGGAGTGCTCAGCCAAGTTCCGGGAGAACGTGGAGGACGTCTTCCGGGAGGCGGCCAAGGTTGCCCTCAGCGCCCTGAAGAAAGCGCATCGACGGAAACACCGCCCGCTGTGCCTGCTGCTCTGACCCCGCCGGGCCGGGACTGACCGGGCCCTGGTCTCTGGCCCACTCCTCGGGGTCCCGCCGCAGCCCTAGCCCTCGGAGGGCACTTGGGGTTGGGCGTCTCCAGGGCCTGCTGCCTGGAGCCTGTGGCAAGACTCTTAGGACGTCTGGAACTCTCTCCTTTCCCGGCTGGGGCCCCCGTGCCAGTGGGCGAGGGTGCTGGACCCAGTCCCCTGTGCCCTGGAACTGGCATCTGTGCCCAGAACTCTGGAGCGCCCTCTGCACACCTCCCCCCAGCCTCGTGCGTCCACCTTCGCACACCCAGCGGGTCCCCAAAGCCCGCGCTCCAAAGGCCAGGCGACACTGGGGTGCGGGGGAGTGCGGACTGGGCAGCACCCCAGGGGCCCCACGCCTGCGGCTCCCTGGGCTCGGGAGATAGACCCGGCTGCATCCTCCAGCTCCTGGCTTCCTTCCCCCGGGGCACCGTCGGCCACGAGGGGACCAGGCCTATCAGGGGCACACAGGCGACAGACCCGGACGTGGGGGCTGGCAAACCCCCACTCTGCCCCCTCCGCCCCACACAGAGGACTTCAGGCCCAGCCTTTGGCTCGACCGACACCTTTCCAGAGCTGGACGCATATGACCAGGGGGAGGAGGAGCTCGGAAAGCAAACCAACGCCCTGGACCACCCGTCCACCCCTGCTCTGGGTCTCCTCGCCCGCAGCAACCCTGCTGCCAACTAGAGATGAAAAGCGACACCAGCTCCTGACCTCGGACAGGTCCCTGCTCTCTACAGACCGTCCCTGTCTGCAAAAGGACAGCGCCGGCTCGTGCAAGAGCCATCAGGCCACCACGTCAGCCGAAGCAAGGAAGCAAGACCGGCCCGGCCTGCTTCGAGGACGGACGTGCCCGCCTGGGCCGCAGACTCACTGGACCCCCTCCGGGAGGGCCCGGGAACGGTTGAACCAGTGCCCCTGGCGGTTTTAACGCCCGAGACCCAGAGTCACTCGGTTCCGAGCGAGCACAGGAGTCAGCGCCCCGGAGCCGGGACGATGCTCCCGGAGGCCCTGCCCCCGGTGCCGGGGCCACGAAGCCGGAGCCTTTCCAAAGTCGCTGGCCGGGGAAGGAGACCTCCGACGCCCACTGCACCTCACCCAGGTTCCCCGGGGCCCTGCCGCACCCTGGGGACCGAACAGGGCGTTCAGTCCAAGGACCTCTGGTTCGGGCAGAATTCGGGGTCTCAGGGACAAATGAGGGTTTGGGACCAAGGTCAGCAAACGATGGCCGGTGAGCCAAATCCGGCCACTCTGTGTTTGCAGATAAGGTTTTATTGGAAGACAGCCGTGCCCACTCACCTATGCGCCGGCGGCTCCTGCCCTGCAGCTGTGGGCTGCGGTGGCTGTGATGGGCCACCTGGCCCCTCACAGGGAAAGTTGGGGACGTCCAGACCAGAGCAGTGACTTCCAGCCAGCGCACCCCAGAATTTTTGGAACATGCTCCGCCTGACTGTTTAGTCAGGGGCACTGATCCCCTTTCCCTTAGGCTGTCGAATAAAAAATGTGACAACAGCCAACACACTAGCTGTCCGGTATGAATGAATTCAAATTATAACTTTTTTTGGTCAGACCGGGGGAAAAAAGATGTATTTTTTGGTGTGCAGCAGAATTTTAGTAGTTTACGTGTGCCAGGAAGTGAAAAAGCTAAAAGTCGCTGGTCTCGGGTGGACCCAAGGACCCAGCAGGCAGCTGGGGGGCCCGGCCAGTGGGGGAGGGCGGGGGTCTCAGGGCGGCGGGCTCTGCCACCAACTAGAGAGCCTGGCTCGGCCCGGCGCAGCCCTGTGGGAATGTTGCCAGGTCTTTCCATTTTTCTAGGGAAGTTCGTATTTTAAAAATGTAACCAATTAAGAAAAAGGAAATCCCTTTGAGGGCCAGCACGTGGCTGTGGAAACCAGCTGCGAACGCCGGTTCCCGAGGATTTGCAGGGAAGTCCTCAGGGGCAGCGGAGGCTCAAGCGTGGGAGGAGGGGCGGGAAACTCAGCCGAACCTGTTCGCCCCTCCCCCTCCGCGCATGCAGGCTCTGCCGCCAGGTGGCCTCCTGCAAGTGAGGCGGCTCAGGCTCCCCACGCTTCCTAGAACCTTGAGGTTCCCAAGGGAGGGCGGTGCAGGTTGGGAGCCCTTTGTGCGGGCCGAAGCCGAGGGGCTCGGTCTCACTCCCCGAGTCCTCACTGCTAGAATTTGGGAAGGGCTGGGGTGAGCGTCAGGAAGCCCCCAAGAGCAGAGCCAGACTTGGTCAAAGAACACGCTCAGTCCACCCGAATGCCGCAGGGCCGGGGCGCCCTCTGGTGGCCAGCCTCAGAAAACCCTTCCACCTGAGGCCCACCCACCCCCAGCTGCTCCGGGGGCCAGGAGCCCCAGGCCTCAGGGAGGGAGGGCCGCTCTCCCCGGGGGGAGGGGCGGCAGTCCGGGGCCTGGGGAAGCGCAAAGAGCACAAGGCACAGACAGACAGTGGTTCTCAGAGCACTTAAATACCGGCCCACACAGAAACAGGGGCCGGGAGGAGGTGGGGCTCATTACAGCAGAAGCGTGCGCCTGGGGAGGGAGGCGCCACAGGACGACCAGGGGCTTCCTCCCGCCCCCAGCGGGACTCTGTAAGCCGCAGGTCATGGATCCACCCCCAGGAGGCATGTCCACACCCCAGGTGAGGGGCTCAGGTGACGGGAGTGGGGACAGGGGGGGCTCCCTGAGGCTTAGCCTCCTCCCAGGAAGCACCCCCCCCCCAGTCTGGCCAGGAGCAGCTGGGAAGGCGGAAGGTCCCAGGGAGGACCCACATTAAATACGTCATAAATAGGGAGGGTGGGGCGGCTAATACTGCGAGGACAGGCTGGGGTCACGTTCCTCTGGTCCCGTCGGGGTCCAGGCCCCGGCCCTGCTCCCCACAAGGCTGCTGGCCCTTGAGGTCACTGTTGCCAGTGGCCGCTGGCACCGCTGGGGAAGAAGTCGGCAGCGGGGTGCCACCTGAGACCCCCCGCAGTCTCAGAGTCCGGGGCTCCAGGGCACGGTCCCGAGGCTCACGGCTGCTTGGCCTTGCTCCTGTTCTTCTGCAGTTTGGCGTGCACGACTTTGAGTGTGGTCAGGAAGTTGCCCAGGAAGAGGACCAGGAACGTGAGCGCCAACACGAACACCTGGCGGGCCCACGTGGGGAGGGGAAGGAGGGGGGGCTGTGCCGGCTGTGCTCAGCGTCCCCCACTGAAGGGCCACCCCACCCTTGACCGCAGCACCCCCTCAGCACAAGCTACCTGCAGCCTGCAGGGGTTCGCCCGCAGAAGGCAGAGAGAGGGTCAGGCAGGGTCCTGGGCAGCTCACCGAGGGGCTCCCCGGCCTCCCAAATCCCCTCCCACCGTCTCCCAGTTCCCAGGAGCAGAGGGATCCGGGCGCCCTGGAGGAGGGCCAAGGGGATGGCTAAGGAAAGAATTTTCCCCAAGCCGGCCCAGCCTTCCCCAGGACCCCAGCCACACACCACCACACGCATGCACATGCATGCACACGCGCACACACACACACACACACACCCCATACCTGCCATTCTTTGCATTCCTCGTGGCTGGAGAGCTCGAACAGCGTGACCGCGTTGTAGAGCTGCCAGAACTGCAGGGAGGGGAGGCGGGCGCCGCTCAGCCACCAGTGCCCGGGGCCCCTCACGGGAGAGCCCGGGAGATGCACCAGGACCCCAGCTTCTGGGGTCAGTGCCCTGAGATACTGAAAACTGCCCGGATGAAACTGGGGCACCCTACCAGAGTGGCCTGAGGCCTCCCCAGGCTCAGGGGCGGTCACAGCCCCAGGACCCCGCGAGGCCCAGCCCGGGGATGGCTGGTGAATGGGGGAGAGGCCCGCAGACCTCCTGTTCTTGGGGGTCAGCCCAGAAGAGGGGATAGCCACAGACCCCAGGGGTACTCACGTGGCCACAGAACAGGAAAGGCAAGAGGAAGGTGAGCCCCCGCCACATCCAGGACTGGAACCCTTCTGCGGAGAGCAGGGAGGGGGCGAAGGGCCCGTGTGAGGGGCTTCGGCGGCCCCCACGGCCCCCCACGGCCCCCCCCGAGCGCCCACAGCTTGCACACGCCGGCCACCCTGAGATCAGCTACGCACAAACACGCACAGCATGGGGGGCGCCGCCCTCACCCCTTTTGGGGATGCGAGCGCTCGCTGTGAAAATGACCCCGAGAACGTGCAGAACACCTGTCACCGGCCTGACTGCTCTCTCGCCTCACGTCGCCATGGACCGAGCGGCCCGACGACACGCACAGAATGCTGCTGTGCCGGGCGCCATGTTTTTAATCACTTCTCTCACTCGCATGTTTGCAGTGGACTTTGGAATGCACCCTTTCCACTGAGTCTTGACAAAGTAGGGCCTACTTTGCAGAGCAATTCAGTAAAAATGACCATCTTCAAAGGTAGCAAAGCTTTATTAAAAATAGCTTCCCCTAGCCCTGGCTGCCGTAGCTCAGTGGATGGAGCGCGGGCTGCGAACCAAAGTGTCGCAGGTTTGATTCCCAGTCAGGGCACATGCCTGGGTTGCTGGCCATGGCCCCCAGCAACCGTACATTGATGTTTCTCTCTCTTTCTTCCTGCCTCCCTCTCTAAAAATAAATAAATAAAATCTTTAAAAAAAAGTAACTTCCCCTGCCCTGACCGGTGCAGCTCACTTGGTTGAGCCTCATCCCACAAACCGAAAGGTTGCCGGTTCGATTCCCAGTGAGGGCACCTGTCTTGGCTGCAGGTTTGGTCTCTGGTTGGGGCGCATGCGAGAGGCAACCGATCGATGGTTCTCTCCCACTCTTTCTCCCTCCCTTCCCCTCTCTCTAAAAATAAATTAATTAAATCTCTTTTTTAAGTTTGCCCTGACAATTTAGGTGAAAGGTCTCTAAGCTTTTCTGGTTAAGCAACTACTGCTATGAGTTAAAAACTCACACACACATTCCCAACGTATGTACGTGTATATGTGCAACAACACTAGGCTGACAGTATGCACATTAGAAAGCACAGACACAAACAGGCATTTAAAAATGATAAGAGAGGCCCTGGTCGGGAAGCTCAGTTGGTTAGAGCACAGTCCCAATACGTCAAGGTTCCGGGTTCAATCCCTGGTCAGGGCACATACAAGACTCAACCAATGAATGTATAAATAAGTGGAACAACAAAATCTTTATTTCTCTCTCTTTCTCTCTTCCTCTCTCTGTAAATCAGTAAGTAAACATTCTTATAAAATAAACATGAAAAGGGTAAGAGAGAAGTCAGCACTCAGGGCGCACAGCCAGTCTCGCCCTTAGCTGAAGCAGAATCCACTGTGAATTATGAAAAGCAACTCAGGCAGGGGCCGGCAGCTCCGGCTCTGCGTGTGGTAGGTCTTGTTAGGTATGTCCTTCCCGGCACGTGCTCCCGCTGGGGGAGCCAGGGGCAAGGTCTGGGGGACCAGGCTGGGGCCCGCACCTGTCCCTCCACTCCCCAGGCCGGCTACTCACCCACTGTGAGGTCCAGGTGATTCCTCTCGCCCAGAGCCCGCAGCCGGTAGAGGCAGCCCCGCTGGTAATAGTACTGCAGGAACTGGACGCAGCCTGCAGGGGGAGCACAGCGCCCTGAGGATGGAGTGGCCCCTCCACCGCAGGGGGCTGGGTCTGCCCTGCCCAGAGGGCAGGGGGCGCTCTGGGCACAGCCCTCCCCCCCCACACACACACAGTCCTCTGAACCCACTTTATCCATTCTCCAGAATATTAAAAGACCTCAGGATATCTGAGGACCGAAGGAAGCCCCAGCTAGACTAGAAACTTCTGGAGCTTTCCTAGGCATGCAGTAGGCACTCAAAAGATACTTGCTGGACGGCGCACCGCACTGGGAGCTGTGTGCAATGCCAAGGTGGCAAGAGGTGGTCCCATACAATGGGATACTTGTATTGACGTGGAGAAACGCCCAGGGCAATTGTTAAAAGCCCAGGTTACGAGCAAAACCACATGTGCAGAGGGGTCCCATGGCTACAGACTACACATAATGCGGTGCACACGTGTGTGCATGTTTGTGAGTGAACACGTTAAAGGACACAGACCTACTAACAGTATCGCCCCTTAGAGCGGGATTGGACGTGATTTCCATTCTCAGCTTTATGTATTTGTACTTGTTTGTAAGCAAGATTTTATTTAAAAATTAAGCTGTATTTGTCTGAATCGGCAATACATACACGGTATAAAATCCAAAGGGAACACCCAGGTGTAGACTAAAAAGTAAAACTCTGCCTGTCTCCCGCCACCCACGCTCCCCACTCCCGGAAGCCACCCCTGACCCCTGGGACCTGCGCACTGTCTATAAATCGGAGCTGCTTGTCAGTGAGAAGCGGAGCATGTTTCCAGTTTGAGGGAAACAAAGTCAGTGCCCCCAGCATTCCCGGGCTCCCCGAGATCCGGCTGGTCTGGCCTGGCCCCGGGAAGGAAAGGCAGCGAGGGGGCTGGGGCTGGGGCTCGGGGGGGTGGAGTTGATGGGGGGGTGCAGATCTCTTCTGGATTCCTGGCCCTCCCCTGCCCCAGGCCGACCAG